TCTCAAAACATTTTGACATCACCTCGTATACTCACCTAGGTGGATGCAGCATTGATTTAACGCTGCATCTGTCAACCCCCCTGCTCTGTGGTGAGAACTGAATGATCAAACGCCACTGCTTGCTCAGTTCCTCCCTCCATTCTGAGCAGAGAGCCGGGACTGTCAGTCTCTGGCTCTCTTATCTGCCCCTCCAGTGCTCACTAGAGTGCCGGACTGTGGAGGCAGGGAAAGGGGCTGGCTCAGGCTCTCGGCAGATCGCTGAGAGGCTGAACCAGGTGCCGGTCCAGACTTCTGGGTGGATCCCAGCCATATCATCAAGATTTTTTCAGAGCCTGGACCAAATCACAGGAGTTTAGAACGAACTGCATTCCTGTGATCCATAGAAGTATAGCCAAAAAACCTTTACTTCTCCTTTAATTCAGAGCCTTACATTGTGTAAATAACTAGATACATTTCAAAAGTTCCAAAAATACTGCTAAGTGGAAAACAACCAAAAATGCATTTTTAAAAATTCAAACATCTTTGTCCATTTGCTAGCCTTTAACCACTTGTCCTCCAGAGGATTTACGCCCCTTCCTGACCAGGCCATTCTTTACGTTACTTTAACTGACACATGCGCGGTCATGCAACGCTGCACCCAAATTAAATTTATGTCCTTTTTTTCCCCACAAATAGAGCTTTCTTTCAGTGGTATTTGATCACTTGTGCAGATTTTTTTGTTGTGCCATAACAGAAAAAAAAAAAAAAAAAACGACAATTTGGAGAAAAAAAACAATATTTTTTATATTGTCCAGTAAAAAAAACAAATATTGTCCAGTAAAGAAATTAAAAAATTCTAATTTCATAATCTCACAAATTTAGGCCAAAATGTATTCTGCTCCATGTCTTTGCTAAAACAAAATCCCAATACGTGTACATCAATTGGTTTACGTGAAAGTTATAGCGTTTACAAATGGCGGTATAGCTACTGGAAGTTTTTTTTTTTTTTACTAGTAATGGCGGCAATCAGCGACTTATAGCGGGACTGTAGCAGGCATTCTGACACTGGGGGGAACTGACTTTGTGTCACTGACATTTCCAGTTACACCAATACAGTGATTAGTGCTAACAAAAAGCACTGACACTGTACTAATGGCACTGGACAGGAAGGGGTTAACATCGGGGCAATCAAAGGGTTAACTGTGTGCTGTTTCACAGTAAGCTGTGTGTCTGTGCTTTCAACTGTAAGCACACAGCTGTGTACGGCTCTGCTATGCAGAGCCGTACAAAGCAGTGTGCTGGAGCTGATAGGCGAGAGAACTGTATTGTTTACATATAGTCCTACCCCCCCCACCGGTGATTGGCAGCCAAGGCCGCGAATAGCTGCATGGGTAGGTTGTGCATGCGGCTCGCACGTGCCCCCTACCCAGAAATGCAAAATCATGTATATATAGGTGATTTTGCACACCCTTACCGCCCTGTAGAAGTATTTCTGCTATATGATGGCAGGAAAGCGGTTAATAATAAAAACATGATCAGGGTATTTATTAAAATGTTGCACCTAATAAAAAAACCTTATATGTTAAAGAATTACTTTGGCCGACAAATTAAATATAGGGGTATTGTTACGTTAAACAAGGCACACAGATGCTCCTAAAACTGGTCTGGGCATCTAGGTTTCAATAACCTCTGATCACAAAAAAAAGTGATGAAGCATGCGTTACAGGCACACTAAAAAGCTATATAAAACACAAAAGGTGCGGCGCTACGGATAATCACAATAAAGAACAGAATGTATAAAATAAAATTCCAATGATGTCTGATTATAAATAAAATAAATGCCTCTGTAATAAAATATTGTTGATGTCATATAAATTCCAAAATAAAAAGTTCCAATGGATTGGGAGAGTCCACCATCACCAACACCCTAAAAATTGCTGCCTCGTACCAGACCGTAATGACCCCTAAAGTAAGTACAGGTCAAAGAGCGCAGTATAGATTCCAAATGTAGATAGCGAACCCGAATGCTTTTTGGCTCCAAAGGGACAAAACTGACCTCCAATGGGTTCGGGTTCACTATCTACATTTGGAATCTATACTGCGCTCTTTGACCCGACCTAGGCTATCTCCTTCTGGTACAGTCACCCAAAACATCTGGCATAAGACATTTTACCTCTTCACCACTTGAGCCTGTTTTTAATTTCCAAGATGTGAGTTACTACTTATCTTTTTTATTACATACTACTACAGTACACACCTAGAGGTGCTGTGTTTCTTTTGTTCCTTTTACCGCAGAGTACGCTTCGCTCCACCACAGCTTGCCCTTAGTGCCTGCTGGACCATCCCTGCCCATTGGAACTTCATACCACCTACATAGGTTTACCGCACCATGCTCCTGTCATTCTCCTTTCATTACTTCGGAAGGCACCTATTTTTTTTCTTTCTCAGCTAGGGTAACTACTTGAAATTTGGCGTTATATAGAGTTGGGTGCAAGCCAAGCCAGTTGAATGTTGGGTTTGTGGCTTCTTTGTGATGGGTCAGATTAAAAGGCAGGAGCATCGGTGGAACCGAAAACTCCTGAAGAAGCATTGTTACCCTCCTTGGAATGTTTTTCCTTTACTTTAAAAATGTTTGTTTAGTGTTTGTATTTTTCAAATCTGTAGTTCACTTTTTGGCTGATAATTGTTTTTTGTGTTTCTAATAGTTGTTAACTGTGGACCCCCAGAGGTTCTAGAGAGTGGGAATTACTCCTTTGTGACCCATAAGATGAGACCACGTACAATGCCATAATCCAGTACAACTGCATAGCTTTCTACATGATGAAAGATGACTCTGGTGAGACCTAAATTTGTAATTATAGTTCTGTTTATGCAGACAGTTGTTGCTCTGATACTATCTCATCATTTCTACAGCTACACTATCCTATGATGATCACGTTAAAGTGATATTAAAGTCTTGATTTACAGAAAAAATTACAAACATGTTATACTTACCTGCTCTGTGTAATGGTTTTGCACAGAGCAGCCCGTATCCTCCTCTTCTCGGGTCTCCTGGCCCCTCCCTCCTGTCGAGTAACCCCACACCAAGCTGCTAGCTATTGGGACACTCAAGTTGCTCTGCACACACCGGGGGACCACACATCTGGAAAAATGGGAGCAGGTAAAACTGTGTAGAGTGCTCATCAAATCACTAATTTACTATTTTCCCATGGTACTAGAAGACAGCATGACCGAATATTGTTCCAATGGCATTAGTCTGAGAAATGTTCACAAAGAAAGACTTATAATTACTTCTAAAAACATCAGATTTTTATATGTAAGTCTGAAAAATCCCCAAACCTATTAAATATGTTTGTTTAATGTAACACGCTCCCCTTCCTCTCACAACAGAGGGTGGGGTAAAGGAAGATTTAATGAAAATGACTAAATTTTTAAATCCTCCAGCTGTAGCAAACGTAATCTGGGATCATAGGCAAAGGCAAGAGGGAAGGATCACAGAAAGGGGGGTTTAAAGGGCCACTGGCCACCAATGTCAGGAGATTGTTTTGGGTATTTAACTGCTTCTCAACTGCCCTATAGCAGAACTACTTCTATAGATTCCCCACCGGCACCCAGCGATCGCCGAGGAACACTGACAGGGGAGAGGTCTGTATGTAAACAATACAGATCTCTCCCCTGTCAGCACCAGCATGCTTTGCATTGCAGAGCAATACAAACCAGCATGCTTAAATGGTAAAACACACACAGGCCACATAGTAAAACAGCACACAGTTAACTCTTTGATCGCATCAGATGTTGCTTTTTATTAGCACTGATCACTGTATTAGTGTTACTGGGGATGTCAGTGACCAGGGTCGGACTGACCATTTGGAAAAGTCACTGGCACTGCCCGAGGGCCCAGGGTCAGTAGGGGGCCCCATAAAATGCCCCTGGTACCTTTTTCATAGGCTTTTTTGAATTTGGGCAAGGACACAGGGGCCCCATGATCCCCTATTTCCCGGGGGCCCCATGAGTTGTCAGTCCGCCCCTGTCAGTGACAGTTAGTCAATACACATTCCCCAGTGTCAGAATGCCGCTAAATTTATGCCGAAATTAATTTTTTAAACTTCGCTGGATATGTTTTATAAAAAAGTAAAAAATATAGTATCTATACCGCCATTTGTAGATGCTATAACTTTCACGTAAACCGATTAATTTACACGTATTGGGATTTTTTTTTTTAGCAAAAAACGTAGCAGAACACATTTTGGCTTAAATTTAATTTATGATGAAATTTGACTTTGCATGACTGGATATGTTTTATAGTAAAAAGTCAAAAATATTGTTTTTTTTTTTCTCAAAATTGTAGGTATTTTTTTGTTTAAGTGGGCACAAATAATAAAAACCGCAGAGGAGATCAAATACCCCCCAAAAAGAAAGAAATACCCAGGACATAAATTTCATTTGGGTGTAGCGTTGCATGACAGCGCAATTATCATTTAAAGTAACGCAGCGCTGTATTGCAAAAGATGGCCTGGTCAGGAAGGGGGGTAAATCCTCTGGAGGACAAGTGGGTAAAGTACCAGTGACCACCAATGATGGGGTAAGGGGATGTCACTGATCACCAATAACTGTGTGCTCTGGTGGAAAAGGCAAAATGCAGAAGAGGGATCAGAGAGTGGAGTGTTTTGCATGAAATAATGTTTGGAGGAATTGTGGCCCCAGGCAGGCTCAGCCTCTTGTTTGGATTTAGCTATGCGTTTGTGGTGGAGACAGAGCCCGAGGATTACATTCACTGCTGGAGATGTGGGGCTGATGGGGAACCTTGTAGCAGTGTTGTAAGTTTCCTCATATAAAATGTTAACAAATAATATTTCTTCTCTCCCCTTGTTAGTGCGGTATCAATGCGGAGCTGGAGGAGAGTGGGAGGAAATAAATACAAAGAGGAAAACGCTGCCAATATGTGAACCTGGTATGTTCAATTCAGAGACTCGCTTTATAGTGTATGAATATTTCCTGCACATATGCACCATTTACACCACAGGTGTCAAATACAAGGCCCCATGAGCCGAATCTGGCCCTCCAGGCCATTTCATGTGGCCCTTGCACCTCTCCTGCAGGTACCCCCTTGTCTCTGCCCCTACCTTGTCTCAGCAGTCCCCAGCAGAGAGGAGAATAGAACAAATCTTCCAAATCCTCCTCATCCCTGCACCACCCCTCATCTCTGCCTCCCTTGGTCTCAGCAATCAGCAGACTCTTATAACTGACTCCACTCCTCTGGTCCTCCTCCAGACCCTGCACTTTCTGCTTTCCAGCTCTTCCCCCAAAGGGGGTGCACGTGATGTTAGGGAAGGTGTGGGATTCTTGACATCTGATGTAATGGGGGGTGGGGAGCTCTGGAACTCTAGTCTTACAGATACAACCGATCCTTTGAGGGCAATCATAATGCTGATACAGCCTGCGATGAAATTGAGTTTGACACCCCTGCCTTACAACATGGTCACACCTGGTGGATGCCACCTGCCAAATCCTGCACCTCTCAGTGCAGTTGGAGCACCCCCTCATCTCTGCCTCCCCTGGTCTCAGCATTTAGCAGACTCTGGTAACTGACTTCACTCCTCCTCTGATCCTCCTCCAGACCCTGCACTTTCTGCTTTCCAGCTCTGCCCCCAAAGGGTGCACAGTGATGTTAGGGAGGGTGTGGGATCTTGACATCTGATGTAATGGGGGGGGGGGGGCTCTGGACATCTAGTCTTACAGATACAACCGGCCCTTTGAGGGAAACCATAATGCTTAAACGGCGCGATGAAATGAAGTTTGACACCCCTGATTTACACTGTCCACCAACCAAAGGCCTAGGAACCGCATATGACCCCTTTCTGAAGGTGCTCAGTACCCTTCTCAGAATATCTGATGCATTTAATTCCAGACCACTTTAAAGGAACAGTAGTATCCCTACAATTCTTCTAGTCCCCTGATGGTGGGGAGTCAGTCCAGATCTAAATGGGTCCTAATGCCCGCCTGCCTATACGCTATGTCAGGATTCTACGCATGTGCAGATTCGATTGCCACGGCGATCTTCCCATTCCCTGACATCTTCTCTGAATATCTGATGCATTTAATTAGAACTTTATATGAGTAGCATTAATATTCCCTTCTGTCATGGTAGTCAGTCTCAATCTAAATGGCACAAACATGCAAAGTTAGCCAAACCTTTGTAGGCAATTTAATAAAGCAGCGAGGTTAAGTAACCTCATGTCACCAACTGTCCATTGGTTAGTTCCTCCCAGGTAAGCTTCAGGGCTGTAAGCAGGGGTGGACTGACCATTTGGAAACTCGGGCAGTGCCCGGGGGCCCGGGGTCAGTAAATGAGATGCCCCTGGTACCTTTTTCATAGGCTTTTTTGAGTTTGGGCAAGGACACAGGGGCCCTGATCCCCTATTGCCCGGGGCCCCATGAGTTGTCAGTCCGCCCCTGGCTGTAAGGGAATGCATAGCAGTTTTCTTTTATTATTTACTATTATGTTAGGAACTAAAATATTTTGAGGTTAATATAAAACCATAACTACAAATAAATCCTGTTTCTGTATGTGCAGCTTTAGACTCCTTTTCACATGTGTAGCTTAGACATATTTAGTCTATGCTTAACTGCTATGCTGACAAAAAAAAAAAACCTTTTTACAGACCTCAATAGCTGAAGCTTACATTTACACACAGAACTAAGCCCCATTCTTGACATGAAGCGCACAGTGCGCAGATGTCACCAACTGTCTGCAGAGTCAATAGCTAAAGACCTCCAAACTTGGTGTGGCCTTCAGATTAGCACAGCAACAGTGTGTAGAGAGCTTCATGGAATGGGTTTCCATGGCCGAGCAGCTGCATCCAACCCTTATATCACCAAGTGCAATGCAAAGCCTCGGATGCAGTGGTGTAAAGCACGCCACCACTGGACTCTAGATCAGGGGAGATGTGTTCTCTGGAGTGACAAATCATGCTTCTCTGTTTGGCAATCTGATGGATGTGTCAGAGTTTGGCGGTTGCCAGGAGAACGGTACTTGCCTGACTGCTGTAAAGTTTAGAGGGGGGATTATGGTGTGCAGTTGTTTTTCAGGACATACAGTGCATGCAGAAAGTATTCACAGCGCTTAACTTTTGCCACATTTTGTTATGTTACAGCCTTTTTTCAAAATCGATTAAATTAACTTTTTTCCTCAACATTCCACAAACAATACCCCATAATGACAACGTGGAAGAAGTTCTTGGCACACCTACTTTTTGGTAATTTCTCCCATTCCTCTTTGCAGTAGCTCTCGAGCTCCATCAGGTTGAATGGGGAGCGTTGGTGCACAGCCATTTTCAGATCTCTCCAGAGATGTTCAATCAGGCTCAAGTCTGGGCTCTGGCTGGGCCACTCAAGGACATTCACAGAGTTGGCCCGTAGCCACTCCTTTGTTATGTGGGCTGTGTGCTTAGGGTCGTTGTCCTGTTGAAAGATGAACCGCCGCCTCAGTCTAAGGTTCAGAGTGCTCTGGAACAGGTTTTCATCAAGGATGTCTCTGTACATTGCTGTATTCATCTTTCCTTCAATCCTGACTAGTCTCCAAGTGTCAAGGTCCTACCTTTTCCCAGAGGTTATGTTACTCCATGTGCTGGCATCCATCTTGGATTTCTGCTGAGCATGGTGGGAATCTTTTATGCCTTCAGGTCTCTGAGGTCCATCCCCCAGAGGGGTGTGGCTGAGTACATATAAGCCTGTGATCCGCACATGCTCTTTGCACTTTTGTCTTGGTCTTGCTACAGCTCTGTGTATACTCTCGTGACTCTTCTGGTATCTGACTTGGCTTGTGACTAGACCATTCTCTGTGTTTTCCTTCGATCTGACCTTCTGTTGCTGAACCCAGCCCGTTTGACCTGTGATTCTCTGTCTACTGTTCTGTACCGTTTTGTCCCGTTGTTGTCGACCCGGCCTGTCTGACTACGCTATTGTCATTCTTACCAGTTACACGCCATTGGCGGCGGCTATTACCGCAACCGGGGTGTCTCGGGGGCCGCGACCTGGTTCCTGGCTGCGTCAAGTCCATCCCCACCATCAGGGGCCCTGGTGAAGGGCAGCCTGGGACTTAGACTCCGTGCCCTGAGGGACTTCGGTCTGTTGGTGGTGGTTGTCGTCAGTCAGTGCATTACCCTGCCACTAGGCCTACCTGTCCGTGCTACAGCCCTGCCCTGACACCAAGTTCCTGCCACTGAAAAACATCCCCACAGCATGACGTTGCCACCACCATGCTTCACTGTAGGGATGGTATTGGCCAGGTGGTGAGAGGTACCTGGTTTCCTCCAGACATGATGCCTAAACAGGCCAAAGAGTTCAATGTTTGTTTCATCAGAGCAGAGAGTTTTGTTTTTCATGGTCTGAGAGTCCCTCAGGTGCCTTTTGGCAAAATCCAGGCGGGCTGCCATTTGCCTTTTACTGAGGAGTGGCTTCCGTCTGGCCACTTTACCATACAGGCCTGATTGGTGGAGTGCTGCAGAGATGGTTGTTCTTCTGGAAGGTTTTCTCTCCACAGAAAAACGCTGGAGCTCTTTCAGAGTGACCATAGAGTGCTTGGTTACCTCCCTGGCTAAGGCCCTTCTCCCTTCGGCAGCCCATTCTAGAAAGATTCCTGGTGATTTCAAACTTCTTCCATTTATGGATAATGGAGGCCACTGTGCTCATTGGGACCTTCAATGCTGCAGAAATGTTTCTGTAACCTTCCCCAGATCTGTGCCTTGATACAATCCTGTCTCAGAGGTGTACAGATAATTCCTTGGACTTCATGGCTTGGTTTGTGCTCTGACATGCACTATTAACTGTGGGACCTTATATAGACCGGTTTATGCCTTTCCTAATCATGTCCAATCAACTGAATTTCACACAGGTGGACTCCAATCAAGTTGTGGAAACATCTCAAGGATGATCAGTGGGAACAGGATGCACCAGAGCTCAATTTTGAGTGTCTAGCAAAGGCTGTGCATACTTATGTACATGTGTTTTTTTTTTTAGTTTTTTTAATACATTTTTTATTTTTAAGAAATTGCAAAGAGGAACTTCTTTCACGCTGTCAATATGGGGTATTTTTTTTAGAGTGTTGAGCAAAAAAATGAATTTAATCCATTTTGGAATTAGGCTGTAATATAAAAAATGTGTCATAAGTTAAGCGCTGTGAATACTTTCTGGATGCATTAAACTGAGACATTTTGAACAATTTCATGCTCCCAACTTTGTGGGAAGAGTTTGGGGATGGCCCCTTCCTGTTCCAACATGACTGCACACCAGTGTACAAAGCAAGGTCCATAGAGACATGGATGAGCGAGTTTGGGATGGAGGAACTTGACTGGCCTGCACAGAGTCCTGAGCTCAACCGAATAGAACACCTTTGGAATGAATTAGAGCGGAGACTCCGAGCCAGGCCTTCTCATCCAACATCAGTGCCTGACCTCACAAATGTGCTTCTGGAAGAATGGTCCAACTTTCCCATAGACACCCTCCTAAACCTTGTGGACGGCCTTCCCAGAACAGTTGAAGCTGTTTTAGCTGCAAACGGTGGGCCAACTCAATATTGACCCCTACAGACTAAGACTGGGAGGCCATTAAAGTTCATGTGCTTGTAAAGGCAGGCGACCAATACTTTTGGCAATATAGAATGTGTATAAATGAGAGTTAAAGTGTTACTAAACCCAGGACACTGCATTCACTGTATCTGGTCTTCCACAGTTCACAGAACATGGAAATGCAATTATTTTTGTAAATATAAACTGCTAAAAACCTTTTCTCATTAGCAGTATATAGCAGTCTTGTGACTTCTATCAGTGTCCGTCCAAGCACTGGGTAATCTTTTAGAAGGAGAGCCTTATGACTCTCCATAACCCCTGGCACTCTGTCTGGGCAGTGCTGATCGGCCTTGTGCCGATCACATACACCCTTTAAAGACAAACAAAAAAACCCTTTTAACAATACACACCAAACAGAGCATGTGCAGACTTGCCACTACTGCTATAACAGACGGTTTGGGGACAGCAAAAGAAAGGGAGGATTAGAGAAGACAGGATCTAACAGCCTTTTACACAATGCAGAGGATTAACCCCTTAAACAAAATAAACAATTTCCCCATAGAAAGAGCTAATACTGTGTGTAATCACCTACGCATGCATGCCGCAATCATTATTTTGTTATAAAAAAAAATGAAACACTGTGCTAAACAAATTAGAAATCACTGGTGTGTGAGTACTCCATGTGTTTCTAGCAGTTCTTCTGCTTTCCTTTCAGATTGTGGAAAAAAGGTCAAATCAGTCAAACCATATGCACCACGTATAATCGGAGGTTCATTGGCCAAAATGGGACAGTTCCCATGGCAAGTATTCATTAAAGCCAATGGTATGGGAGGAGGCGGAGCCCTGCTCTATGATAGGTGGATTATAACTGCTGCCCATGTTGTACAAGACACTCACCTTCCCGAACTTACTATGAAAATGGGATTCATCAGTAAGAATGACACAAAGGTCTACAAGGCCGTGCCAGAAGCCATCTATATTCACCCCAGTTACAAAAAACGATGACACGTTCAACCACGACATTGCTCTGATTAAACTCAAAAACAAAGCACCGATTAATGAAAACATCCTCGGTATCTGCCTTCCAACCAAAGAGGACTGATATCGGATTAGCGAAGACGAAAATGATCATCACAAGGGGCAAGTATCTGGCTGGGGAGT